TTATGTCTCTTTTGGCACTTTTGTCTTTAAACCCACCTACTTAAGACTGTTTTGGCAATGTTAATAAGTAGCTAATCCCTTTGTACGCTATTTTTAGATGAACGCTGTATTTATAATCCGAAAACGCCTAAAGGACCAATTTGTAATTCAAATTACAATTTCCAAACTTAGGAAAAACACGCTTTGTTCGTTTATTTACACGGCATCCACAATCATCTGTGTGATTACATTAACTGCATTAGAAAGACGAATGATCTTTCTCTAACAGCGCGGGAATACGATGCCGGGTCATTATCTACGCGTAGGGCTGGTACTAAGAATATATTGTGTTGATATACCCACGATACTCACAAAGTGTGAGGCTTCCACATTTATGTGGCGTACATGAGCTTATAGCATTGGAGTGGAATTTCTTTCCTGCAGATTTGTTACCTGAATGCTATAAGTTAGACCCAGGCGAAAGTGAATAGGCATTTTATAGGTGTACATACTCCATTGTCAACCTCATCGTCACTTTCCATCACCAGAGACAGAGGTCCGTTTAAAAATTTTAAAATGTATGAGTATATAATGTATTTCATTACATTTTCGCTATTTTGTCCGTGGTGTGGCAACCTGGTGAAAACAGAACACGAGTTTCACCAGTCTCCTACAAGTCTTGTTGGCAACCCTGCAAATGTCATTTTACTCCATCTTCAAAAAAGGCAGACTATATATTTATACAAGATCAAGAGCATTGCAAGGTGGCCCAGTGGGAGAGCAGTTGCTTCTCGATTGAGAGGATTACGGTTCGAGCCAATGTAGTGACATGTACTGTATGGCTTTAATTTCTAAAATACGTAAATTTGTAAGTGTTTAGTAGCAATACCTGTCGTTAATGATGAAAGAAGTCATCATGATGAAACCTGCGTATGAAAGAAGTTTCACAACATTTGGAAAACGCGTGAGCTCCCCCAATCCACATTGGGCAATCGTGCAGTGGAACGTAAAATGAGTTGATCATGATTATTCTTATATTGTGCATTGAAGTCGCACCCTGCGATAGAAAATTTTGAAATTCAATCACATTATTTGTTTTTTTTTTTATGATATCAAGTGATAGGACGAACACATCAAGTATATAACCAGAAACAGAGACGAAATAAGGGCCATCCATCCCTGGGAACTCGTCAGGCAAATAGGCCTTATATCACTTTTAAATATCAATTGTCGTTTGCGCTGAAATCACAAATTAGAAAGCTGAAATAGTACAGAGCCAAGAACTGACCTGTGTATACGTCTCCGTATATTTCAAAAATATTCTGTATTTATTGCAATAAAGATAATATCTCCGTACTTCCGTAGCTGTTCAACCCGTATGAGATTACTGAGTCCACCAATGCTAAGTACATGGTTCTTAATGTTTTGTATGGAAGCTTATAACGAAGAACAAAGAGTTTAGCCAGTAAAACACGCAATTTATCACAAATTAAGGCAATGAAACTTGCTATCAATCATTATTCCAAGGTACGTGTGATGTTGGACCACGTCTATTGGTTTGCATTACAGGTATTGGTAGGCTTTTGAACGTGTAGACACTGATGTTCATGGACCAAGATGATAGGTTGTGTAGACTTAGTTTTATATGACGATACTATGTGCATTACTTTGGTTTTTTGTGCGTTTATAACAAGACCAACATCGTGCGCCCAGTTACACGCAGTATCAAAGTTATTTTGCATAACTTTTTGAGCAGTCCCTACGTCTAAGTGTGAGTAGACATTTATCGTCCGCGAACTGGTACACAGATCCTTCCGCAAACAAGTTACACATTTCGTTTACGTACATCAAGAATTGTGTGGAGGCAATATTTGAACCCTGTGCTGTGCCTTACTCCGGTAATATCTAGTCACTAATTCCTCCGTTTATGCTGACTGCGGTATACCTGTTTTCATGATAGTTTTTAAACCATTCTAATAACGGGCCCTGTGTACCATTGTCATACAGTTTATCGTAAAGTGTATTTAGGTGTAAAGTTTCAAATGCTTTGCTAAAGTCTATAAACGAAATTATCACATGTTTGTCTTCGTTTAAATACACGTTCACTTCATTAGTGAAGTCTGATATTAGTTGATTAGTGTTCCGACCCTTTTGAAACCCGTATTGCTTTTTGTTTATGATGTTATTTGCCTGTAAATAATTATTAATTTCGTTACTAAAATATGCCTCTATTATTTTGTCAAACAAGTGAAACAATTGCCGACACCCGTCAATTGTTTCGAATTTGAGCTGGCCAATCGCAGCGCAATTGTCACCGTAATGATTTGGCCGTAATAGTTTTCAATTAAATGACGTTTGTCTCTATTTCTGGTTATATACTCGATGGACGAATAAGTCGTGCGCCAGTTAGTAAACGACACGTATGTCCACAACAGATGCAATGCCACTCAGAGCTTTAAATCGCAAAGATTTGGGGGACACTGCTACTGCATCCGTCACCCTGAGACATAAAGAAAATTTGTTGATAAGTGAGGCACATGGGCCTGTAATTTCACCAGCACCCTTCCCCCTCAAAACCGTAACACAGTAATGCTTACATTACTGCTTGGCGGCAGAAATAGAGAGATGGCAGAACTTCCCTATACGAACTCTTTCATAAGGAGCTCTACTGCTACTAAAATATTTCTGGGCTGACATATGTAAAATCTTTAACAGTAGATGTAAATCAAGTCGTCTACCACATACGTGTAACTTTGTACAACCCTACCAGGCCCACCCATGCCCCGCACCCCTCCTCTCCATGATGGATGGTAATGCATTGTCTTTGCACCCCTTATATTGGGTTAAAGTATTTTGTGAAATTCATCATCTTTCTTTTGCCATTTGTAAATTACGTGTATTATTCAGAGCTGTGTTTTTCTTCTCTTCGTATTTATAGAGATAGTTATCCCCTTTATCTTTCTGCTTGTCTGAAGAATACGAAATATGATAATGACGCTATTGCTTTTCTTACATTAACAATTCATTTTACCTTGTTAATGCTTCAGGTCAACTTATAATAGTCCTTTTAAACTTTGGCCTTTTCAAAACAACTATTTACCATGGGTAACCTCTGCACTTACCGAACTGTCGTTCGCTTTAAATCTCTACTACTAATAATTTCTTCATTACACGAAAACATCTTCGAGAACTGACCTCTAATGAATTTCTGAAAATACATTTAAATTTGAAAACGTAAGATTTTCATTTTGTGACACTATTTGTTTCAACATGCGAAATATAATTTCCATATCTGTTCCATATTAGGTAAATATTAATAGTTCATTCTTCGTACCTATTCAACGTATACTTTCTTTCTTTTATAATAACATTTTTTATAGATTTTTTTAATAAACTTAACATTGATAACCTTTTACCTCCATTATGTCAGTTCACAGATCAAAAATTGAATTTCTATAATTGTATTTTTTATGCTGAAATTAGCATTTCATGCATATTAGTTGAGGAACGGCATTATCCTTCGTGCAATTTGAACGGATGCCAAGAAAGCTTCGTTCACTGCGCTTCGATTACAAATGTTTTTTAAATGTACAAAACTTGAACTAGGTACCGTAGAGATAAGACCATGCTTATAACATTCGTTGTAAAATAGTCCATTTGACAGACAGACTGTATGAAACAGCCGTTTTTGGTTCTCCATTTCAGAGGAGTTTTCGACGGTGAAAGCTGTTTGCGCTTATAAATATAAGCTAATAAATAAATCAGTTCCTTATAATCATCAATTAATCCTATAAGGGTTCGACATGATAATTATAAATGTAATTATCGTGATAAAATATACCTTAATTTAATCTTAATATTTATAAAATTAATATCTATAAAATTTATTGGAACAACAAAATGCGACTGCTGGCAATGTCATGCCATGTGTTTGTATCAGAGCGTTATCGTCATGTTTATTTAGTTTTCTCATTGTTTGCCATTTTTATTCAAATATTAAAGAGATAAAATTATTAATCAGTATGGATAATTATCGTGATAATTATCAAAGAAAATAAACATTTTGATAACTCGAATCCTGCTTAGGATTATAAACCGGTGTTTTTAACAACTATGTGACCTCACTTGAAGCTCAGCCCAAAAACAATTCAAATTGTATTGAAACTATGTAACCGAAAACATCGACATTTATTATTAAGTGAGAACCGAGCGAAATGTTTACCGACCAGCAATAAAGAAAAACTTGCGTTTACGGTTTAAGGCCATTACTTTCCGTTACACATTACACTTTACCCATCTCTTGGATTCCACCCTTAACACTAAGGTATACCCTAGGGAACAATCTAGAGTGGGCGGTTCTTTTAAGCATCCATATTATTTAAGATTGCCAAGGCCGATATCCCTTAGATTCAGAAACAAATTCGTTTATGACCTGAGATCGAAATCGTCAGAGTAGATAATACCTCCCTCTGAAATCTCGGAATTATTATGTTGTATTTAGTTCTATATTTTTGATGTGTAACTAGCAATTATTTCTTTACTGCGGTATTTGGGCAAAAAGATTTGTAATTGTAAGTAAAAATATGACTGCTTTGCCTTTATTTTTAATTGTTCCGGGATCTCAGAGAGAGTTATTATCCACTCTATGTGTATTACTTGAAATTTTGGCAAATTTAATAGCAGAGTAGACTATTTCAATATTAATTGTTGATAATAATAAAGTCTAACACCTCAATTTCAGGGTCGGGTCGTACCCTCTTTCGAACAAAAATAGAATCATAAAAATCGGTTCACAAATGCCGGGGCCGGAGTTATCACGTAACATACATACAAAAAACAGAAAGAAAAACATAACAGTCGAATTGAGAACCTTAAAAATCGAATCATAATAGGCATTCCTAGCTCCAGCGATATCTGGGACGACCAACTAGTCTTCATCCAGTAGGTCGACCCAAATAGACTCTATAACGAAGTCAGTCAATAATAACAAAAAATCTAATTAACGTATTGTTTGTCCACAGGTCTTAGCGGTTCGAAAGCGGACTTGCAGCATAGGCGGGAAGTGTTCGGTTCGAATCTAATTCCCCCTAAGCCGCCCAAGACGTTCCTCACGTTAGTATGGGAGGCGTTGCAGGACGTCACCCTTATCATCCTTGAGGTAGCCGCTGTTGTATCGTTGGGCTTGAGTTTCTACAAACCGCCCGATGACCCTAATGCTATTGGTGAGTTATTTTCTTTACTTCATACCTTGAAAACTTTACATTACACTCTTGAAAACACCATTGGCGATTTTCTACTGCAAGATTATTTTATGCAAAAGAGAGCATTACTGCTCATGATCTGATAGAGAAATCACTATCGCACGTCTGGCTACATCTTAAAGTATACAGTCACAAGGTATTTTGTAAATATTTATTGGCCTGTTTAATTTCATAACAAGATCACAGTATATAAACTACAACGAAACCGTAGAATGAATAACGATACGTCTTTGGCACTCAACCCGTTCATTAACAGTATTTAAGAGCCCATTCTATTTCAGGTCGAATTAAAATTTTTCCCGTTCCATTTTGTTTGGATCGCGCGGTAGGCTCACTGGCTTTGTTTCAGAAATGAAAAAAACTGTTCACACGACATTAAAGCCATTTGAAAAATGTATACGTATACTATACGTGTTCTACTTAGTTCACTTGATATTAAAAAAAACATTGGTATATGTAAAGTACCTATCTAATACAGCGGTTTTCTTGTAAAATTTCGAGTAAGTTTATGTTTTTTTTCTATCGTGACAATTTTTAGGAATCGTGTTTTCACACCGTATAGTAATCAGTGTATATCCTCAATTTTACTATATATTTTATCTACACAAATATCATAAACTCTCTATAATGTATTCAAAAAACGCAAATTACGACCAGCATAAAGGTAAATTGTTTTCTTAGGACAAATTTCTTAAAATGTTATTATTGCTTCATAATAACATCGAATTCCATGTTTCGATGTTATTATTTTATTCCAATTTCGAACATCTCTGAAAAACAAAACAATATGATTGGACCTCAATTCTAATATCGTCGAGATGAAGTTTTATTCGAAATGAAATGTCAATAGCAAACAATTTTGACAATTTCACACGTTACTTGATATAAAACGACATGATAGTTGGGGCCGATTCTAATTTGTCTTTAAATTTAAAATAAAAACTACGGTTGTGTGACATGCGTGAGAAAAGTTTTATTTGCCGCCATTTCGCCAGTCGTAACATGCGGTTCCTGAACACATCACAGAGAGCTTATAATAAGTGTATAGATAAAGCAGTGTATGTAACCGTACATAATTAGGCATTAAAACACTCGGGAGATGTTTTATGACACTCGCCTGTCGGCTCGTTTCGTAAACCCACACTACCAGTTACATAAACTACTATTTTCAAAGTGATTGATTCAACATCTTCTCTGTTATGCGTAATCAACCAAAGCCATTTAAGGTAGTATAGACACTTAAATAGTACAGCTCACGAAAATGTCACTATATTTCTTGCCGTAGTGCTTATGTATATTGAATCAATATTTTATAAAATATTCAATGTAATTTATTGATTATGCCAGTACGTTGTCGATACTTCTCTATGGAGTAGCAGTAGGCGTCGACTACACAGAAAGCACTTGGGAATCGCAGTGTAAAGCCCGTAGTTGGTTTTTTGAGATCCATGTAGCGAATCGGGGTACCCCGTATTTTCACATACTATTCTGTTTAAATTTACGGTAAACGGTGTTACTGTCCCTCAACGGGTTAAGATTAAAATTCAACTCGGAATTATTTTCTTCAACATAAATTTTAGGTATGTTTTTTATTTACGGACACAAACTTAGTTTTTTACATCTCTTAAAAACCACTCATACATACAGATTTGAGTTTCGATTGGGGCTAGAACAGGACCGTTTCCTGACTTGTCGGTGTCGTAGCGGTGCGGTATCTGTAAGCTCGGTATACGCAGTAATACGCAGCAGTATTATATTTCAGTGTGCGCTTCCTGTTTGGCGCGGTATACCGTAAACCGAAACGATTTCTTCCCGCTCCTGTCCAAACCGCGCCAACCGGGAAGCGCACATTGAAATATAGGCGCTCGGTAAGCATTCGATACGGCGTATACCGACCGTATCGACGCCGCACCACTACCGCACCGCCAAATCAGGAAACGGCCTAAGAATGTATGACAACGCGATTTGACTGTTTCGAACAGCTTCAACTTCGAAAGTAGTCGCGAAATGATCTATAGTGGGGAAACGGAATTTTTGCCTCGAGAGTAGTGCCCCTATTGTAGTGTTTGTATAAGTGTCATATTACACCTTTCTAAAACAATAAATGTAATGCATTTAGTTTACTAGTCAGTAAACCCTGACACAAACTATTCACTACTAAAGACATTATTGCAGTGGTAAATCACTAAATGAAATTAAACATTGCGGCATCCGTTGTTTAGCAAACTAAAACATGACAAAGCAAATATTTTGGCCTATAGATCAAAAGGATTTTAATACTTCTGCACATTTGAAATATTTAATGCTTGTTGCTGATTTTCGTTAAACTATTTAGGTTTGTTTACGTTCTGTTCAATGAACACTAATTCGTTGTAATATTGTTTCTTTTTAGACTAAAATAAATATCTGAAAGTGACAATGTGTACTTTACGATGTAGCAAGTTAGCCACAAAAATGGATGCGGATTTAAGCGACCCTTTGGTATAATAAAGCCACATGTGACCATAAGTCATAAAAGCTTAAGACATAACAAAAGCTAGTCTCTAGGGAGAGGTTTTTCAAAAACCTCACCGCAGCCGGTATCTTTACAATTGCCTCAACTGACGTCGATGTCGCTTTTTGATCAAATGTATTACTGAGATTTTTTGTGAAATAAGTCCACTAGTTTTGATATGATTATTAATACAAAGCTCGAACACATGGAACAATCGTGAAGGTTTTTCAAAAATCTCTCACTAGATGTCACCACGGCGACGAATGCCGAAAGCCAGTACAAAGATCCATGACAAAAAACACATAGGAGAATTTCGACAGCTCGGTAACTTGATCTGTGGCTCAAGCAATGCTACGGTGCAACATGGTCGTGGGTTCATGTCCCATCGGTCCAAGAAATTTTTCTGTGTGGACGATCTTTGATGATCTTTCATAACAAAACTAGTGGACTTATTTCATAAAAAATGTCAATAATAATTATAACTTTTTTATTAAAAAAAACCGACCTTCACCAAAAGTTGGTGAAATTACATCTATTTGCCAAGTTTTATTAAAATCGGTTGACGGAAAATTACTGAAATCCAATAAACCTGATTCATCCCCTAATTTTCCACCATTAGAGGTGGAATATTTTCTCCAGTTGGGAACACCACTGAGAAACCTTTCCAACAAAAAAAAAGAATCATCGAAATCGGTTCACAAATGTCGAAGTAATCGCGTACACACTAAGAAAAATACAGTTCAATAAAGAATCTCCTCCTTTTTTTTGTAGTCGAATAATACAGATTACATGAAACAAATTATGTATATGACGTTTAATAACTCTTAACTTATCGACTAATTTTGTTCAAAAAAATCTTTAATCTGTCCTAAAACTTGTCGTATTGCAGATGTGGCCTTATTACACCAAGTCTGCGAGTTACTTATCTTACTTTCATAATCGTAACCTTAATGGGGCCCAGTATCTATAACATCAAAACGGAGAATAGCTGCGTTTTATCAATCATTAGCATTTCGTTATTAACATCTCCGTACACTTTAGCCACATGCTTCTGGGTCCTCAAAAAAGACTTACAATTATATGGACGTCGGGTCCGCGCTAAAAAGTGTCCGAACTTATAGGGCGTTAAAATTGTATACAGAGCGTCATTCACGCTCTAGTCTTCGTTTGTTCGACTGACGGCGAAGCAAGTAAAATTAGACAGTACTGCGGTGACATTACAATTTAAATTCAACGTTTTAGCTTTTTCATATTCCTTTACATGTCACTACGTTTAAATAGGTTGACTTGGGACATTTTTTTCGTGGTTTTTGTATTAGACCCGTCGTCCATTTATTTGTAAGTCAATGGCCCTACTTTACTTTTTTCAATGTGATAGTGGTAGTTCCTTTTTTGAATACATATCACAGATAAGTCACCGGCGCTCCGTAGTAAAACTTTTGGAAACAAAAATTTAAAAAAAATAGATTGCGCTGTACATTGACGCCTCCAAGCTTATTACAATTTTTGTCACGAGCCCATTACATTGTGTGGTGTGTGGCCCTAAGCTTCCCTATAACTACTAAGGTTTATAACAACATGCAGGTAGGTGACTTTGTTGCAACAAAAGTTATTGAATCATTGTTATTGCGTAGGAAAAGCTTAGACATAGAAAATCGATGTCTTGTTGCAGTAAAAAATTTAGAATTTTGTACTTTTAAATATAGATATATACAATTCTGTGTCGTTCGTTAGACAATGTTAATTCTATTAGATAAATGGAACACAAAAAATACTATTTTCGTAACAGTGACACAAAGGAACAGATGTTATTAATGAACAATATTTTTTTGGTGATTTATGATAAATTCCATTATTAATCGAGATCCGTTACCGGACCGGAGTCGCCTCTTTGAAGTAGTAAACGTTGGACAGGCGTATAGAAGGCGCCGCGCAAACGTGTGTCTTGTCTTGGTTACAACCAACCAGCAACTAGAAGCGAATATTCTATTTTCATACAATAATATATATAAATAAAATTTACAATTGCAGTCGCAGCAACCGAACATAGTCGCCGGTTGCGGCAACCGTAATTGTATGAAAATAGAATCTTCGTTTCTAGTTGCTGGTTGCTTGTATCTAGGGCTTGCTCTCGGGAAATCCCGGTTCCGAAAATACTGTGAAATCCCGGCATTGACGAGATGCAATCAGTCCCGGTACCGCGATTATAGATTACCGATACTCCAGTTTATAGCAAGGAACTACTTACCTACTGAGCCATGAGTAATATCGCACGTTGGCAACTTCGCACGGAGGTTTTCGCTATTACAACGCAACTTAAACTTTATTAATACTTAAGTAACTACAATGTGATTTTACGATATTATGTTACGTTAAATTTAATAGTAATTATCTCTCAAATAAATATTTTGAATATACCTTTTTTTTATTAAAGAATGAAGTTTTTCTTTATTATTTATGCTATTATTATTGCATGAATATGAATAGGCACGAATAACCCGGAAAAAGCATACTAACTGGTTACAGTTTAAGCTTTTCAAGAAGTACCGGTAATACCAGAAGTACCGGTACTGAGCTAAGCCCAGTACCCAAAACCAAAATTTTAGGAACCGGATCGGTTCTACTAGCCTTACTTGTATCCAACACAAGAGTCACGTTTGCGCGGCGCCGAACTCGCAGACAACCAAAGGTTTTGAAGTGACCACTACTGGAACGTGCAGTGTAGTCCAACTCTCCCACTAGTGGCTGCATGGAGAAGAATGAAGACGATTTAGTGCTCTGATAGCGGATTTCAATGGTAGCCTTCAGATGACTCGTATTTTAATGATTACTGTACCATAAAAACAAAACGAATACTGTTCATTACTAATGTAGGTCCCTACAATATACAACCAAAAAAAGGTTATCGCGAGATGATCGTATCACACATACACTGTTACAATAATATGTAAAATTAATGAGTGTATTTTCTTTTTCAATAACAATATGGATATCGTTAGATGAAATTGGTAAGACAAACTATAGATAAGAAGTAACACTGCTCGTTTTTTTAGCAATGTACTCAAGCAATTAATAGTATGTTATGAAAAAACGTATACGATGGTCTCAATTCTGGTGCATATTTATTCAAATAGAAACTAATTTTAGATGCCTAAAAATTTTCACCGTTTTAAACTGATATGAAAAGTGACAATTAGAGATCGGTAAAATTAGTTTTGCTTTTGAGGCGTACTGCACGGAGTTCATGCCCTCGTTTATGTCATGATTTATAACTATATATAATAGTTACAATTTAAAATGCAACTAAATCAATTGAATGTGGTTTTCCGTAATTATTTGTTACCGATTCTGCTATGCTCGTTAAAAATTTAAGAAGAGACCCGATGTGGACACCTAGACTGCCTTGACTTTATGATTTCGGCCGATAGTTCGTGCCTTCTCTATTTTTAATGCATCATCCTTTATATTTGAAAATCAACGCCTAAAATTTTATCAATTTTTGTTTCATTTCAGTTAAAAGCATATCAGAATCGCTACCCTGTCTTGCACTGTGTTGAATTTCAGTGTTTAGCCGCATTTTAGGTGTAATGGTTTGTTGTCAACATTTTAAATACGACGTCATAGTTGGACCAAAATTTCATGAAAAATATTTAATTTACCCTCTGTTTCACTTACATGAAACATTACAAGCAAGATCTCTTCGTAGTCATCGGATTCTAGTAGATATACAGTCACATTATTCTTCATGAAATTTAGATCGTCTTCTACTACTACTTTGAATTCGTCATTTCCCATCCCTTCTAAATGTTCAATATCTATGTTTTCCGCCTCCATAGTTTTTACACTATAATGTGGACTGAAAATAAAATCGGAAACCATATAAATTGACTACCCTTCTAAGTAAAAAAAGCATGCATCCATCTTAAGCATGTCGACTGTCTTTCCCCTCTGTACTTAAAGACGCCAATTACGTTGATTTTCTTATACTCTAAATTTTATAGGTCTAAAGACAGTATCCTCAGCAAAACTATCAATATTAATCGAAAAATTATATGTTTTTTTAATATCGTACATATTGATAGTGGAAACGATATTGTTTGATATTTTACATTTGTATAGCTCCTGTATAAATATTTGATAATGAATGTGGGAATACCTCAAACCTTTAGACCTTTCAAATTTAGTTTAGAACTACAGAATTGGCTCTATACAGTGTTTTATTATAGTAATTAATTAATTGGTTATACGAGAAACCATGGCGGAAATTTTAACATTGATTTAGTTGCAAGAACTTGAGTACAGATCGAGTAGTAAACGCACCCCTACCCTGTCTTACCTTTGTGCTTGCTAAATAATATGTATTCCTTGTTTTGTCATTGTTATATCCTTAAATTATTAATTAGGTGAAGATGCGTTCATGGGTTTTTAATTTAATTTAATAAAGGTCCATTGTACCTAGTATTTAGTAAATAAGGAGACATAAAACTCAGAGTAATAGTTTTGACGACCTCGGTAGCCCAACTGTTTGCACTGTAGATAGTATAGAAGAAGGTCCCGAATTCGGTTCCCGATACGACCAATTTGGAAAATGAACTTAAAAGTAATGCCACGAACTGAATTCCGTTGCTCTAGTTGGTGTTCATAGTACAAGGAATTCTCTTGTTTGAGACCAGGTAATTGGTGTGGTTGCCTGGAACATAATTAGTTAAAGCGCTCATACTATAGTACAGTTACACGGTTTAAATAAATATATTATACCTACCTGTCCCAAACAACGTTTTCATTTGGACAAAAATTGTTGTCGTAAGGTAGTGTCCACTTTCTGTTTCTGTCCCTCGAAGATAGGTAAATATAGTCTACCTACCTCGATCACTGTTTATTACTGTATGTATGTACATACATTCTTATCAATTTCCATTTCTCTCTCATCACTCATAAGCGCCATCAGCACATCCCGCCCTCTCCCTTTCACCATTGGACATCCAAACGTACGGCGGGATATCCTTGTTTGATCGATACTCCCTTTAGGCGTACTAAGCGCTTTTCGTCATCCCTTATTATGCGCACAGCCTTGGAATGGAATTACCCGCCTGCGACTGTGTTTCTAAGCACGTACAACCCAAGTATCTTTAAGGTGCGGCTGAATCTTCTGGGCGAGCTAGTTCCAGCGTAGATCCTATCTTTGCTTAAGGGCTAAGCAGTGGTCAAGAACAAGTCCTTACCTTTACGTTCCTTATCTTTATCCCGTGCCTTTATGTTACTTAAAACCTGTCATCAGAAATTAAGAAACTCTTCCCTCTTTCTTTCACGAAAAGGAATACACTGAATTTGAATTAAACTTTAGTTTCCCTGCCTGAATTGACACCTGTATTTTATTAAAAACTACCTTCGTTTCATTGCGACTGGTTTTTACCTGAAACCGTCTCTTTTCCTTTTTATTACCTTCCCTCTTCATAGTCACCTGTCAAGATGTAGCCTGACATCCCCTTAATGAAACGACAATAAAAAACACTGTGTAACTGTATTGTTTATACAACGAGAGTGCAATCATGGTAATGCATCTTCACTATCTAAGGTAATAACGTTTTTTTCCTGTTTGTCAAAATTGCATATTTACAATGGCAAATTAGTAAAAATGGTACAATTTTGACAAATGCCTTTTCTTCTTGTAATGTTAGTTAATGAAATGCGTTTTAATGTTGTTTAAAAACCAATTTAATGATAATATTTGAAAATGATAACAACGTCACGTTTGTGCCTTAAATAAATAAACTTATATAAAGATTTAATTTAAGTACCGTAAACTATGAAATATATTATACTTAATTAGAGATACGTGGAAAGCACAACGATTTAGGCCAATCCATTATTTTTCCAAATCCGTTCCAAGTACTTTATTATTGAAATACTGTCTAATAAACGTACCAGTTTGGTTACTTTCATGTAACCCTTATAGACGTTTCAGCGCGTGCCAAATCAATTCAAAACGCATTAAGATACAGTACAATTTATGTGCGTTTTTGGTTACCGGTATCAAAAATCTTTTACCGATAAATTATAAAATCTACTACTTTTTTAAATGTTATTTGTAATTACTGATGTAGTGCAGTGATTGGTGCCTTTCAATACAATTTAGAGCCAAAATCATACAAATAGGTAAACGTAAATTTATATATTAAAATTAGTAGTTATTTACATCACAACGAGTGTCAGAGATCAAAAGAAATAAAATAAAGTTAGTACGATAAAATGTACATAGTTTTTTTACCGGTACCATACCGGTACCGGTACATTGTAACTGTACCTTATATTCATGCATTTTGTGTTTAATTATGCAAGCGCTCAAGTGCAATAACGTTTAAACTTTACGATCCTTGCACCTTGAAATTCTAAAAGTGTGCACGAGAGTAACAAAATGGAGAATTGTGTTCTTTCATGTTGAAAAAGCGCAATTCACAATTTCGCATTTAAGTCGGTGTTTTGTAGAAAGGGCGAAAATGCAAGTTCGAAAATTTTTTCAGGAGAAAATGTCTTAGTTGGCTGTTTTAAATTATTTACGTCCTGTTTAAAATTCAATTTTAAAACTTAAACTTAATTAAAACCAAAATTTAATTTAAGTATTTAATGAAATAGGACGTTAATATTTTAAAACAGTCGTTAAAACCTAGAACAATCTCCACTGAAAAATTTTTCGAAATGGCGCTTTCGTCCTTACTACAAAACATCGACTTTGTATCAATGCATAATTGGTGTCTATATTTGCGTATAGAAGTTCTATTTATATTTATAAAAGCGAATTATCTATATTCTCACAATCGAACGGATCAGCGCGACCCATTGAACTGTTCACTTGAAAGCTGAGTTCACATTATACACGATCGAACGTTGCTATTTACGTAACAGAATCTACTGTTGAAAATTTATTGTTACGATCTGTATCATTTTTAAATCGAAACTTGATTCGTTTTTCTTATTATTGTACCAAAATAATTAGAAGTAGTGTATAATGTATTGCAAGTAAATTAAGTCTTTTTATTAATTTTTTTCTACATTTAGGGTGATATTTATTAACCTCCATTTATTTTTAAACGTTAATTGTCTTTTCTAAACCTCTTTCTTTACTAAAATATAAAGCGACTAATCAAGAGCCTTAAAGCAACGAATACTTTAAAGTTACCGAAAAGAAACTATATTTTTATTCACAATTTTTTCTTTTTTTTTCATAGCCAAAAGGCGAGCTTATAACGACAGTAATTTTTGGAATAATGTACAAGCCAAAGGTTTGTCTTCGTAAGATAAATGTTGTTTCGATGTCGTACCTACTAGAAAGTGACCCTAACCAGAATAGGGCTGTGACCCTAAACAGAATAGGCCTTCAGTTTTGGAGGGGGCGTGTTTTTTATGGTGTGGTGTGGTGGCAGGGTCACTTTTCAATGTGAGCTTCAACTTGGTGTTACCATTTACAATAAAAATTATGACAATAGTGACGCTGTACAAAAATGTCGTGCAACTGTCAAATTTGTCGTTTGTATCGCATGCCAATGTCGTCAATTGACGTCTTGTATAGTAGTAATTACTATGATGAATAAATAACCTATCTATAACCCTATTTACACTCCACTTCAACTGTAGAAGTACACTTTCTTGAAAACAAGTTTAAATGTAAAGTTTTTATCAATTTTTATAATTTTGTCGTTTGATTAATCGAATCGCAGTAACAAAAATCCGGTTATCACCCATTGCCAAGATCCAGTAAATAATATTAACTATTTTATTTTTGTTCTTAACTTAACTTTAACTTACAAATCCTTTCTTCAGACACAGACCGACTCTTTTGTTTCTTCTTTCGGCTTGTTACCTGGTGTTATATTCTAAATTGTTCAATACCTTTTTGTTCATTGTCGGATGAAATTATTACTTAGATTTGATGTCCTGTAAGTTAATACGCATCTGGGAGTTAATCGTGATTTATGAATAGTAACGGTTAAACGATTATACCACTCTAGGTACTATTTAATTCAATCGGGCGCTTACTACCGAGTGCAGAGTGCTATACGGTTAACTTAGTCATTAATTATGTCGGTAGTTAAAACATTTATTGAATCGGCAATTAATAAACATATAACAATTTCACGTTATACAGGATATTAACTTAATTGCGTTACACCCGAAGGGAGTTACTAGTGCTCATTAATACCATAGTAAAATAAGAGAAATATAGTAATTCCGTACAACGTAATAGCGCGGCTTGTATGTGTACGCGACCGCCGCGCGCTTTGTACAGACGCATACATTCGCGCGGCGGGCGCGCTGCTACTTTTGTACGGAGTTGCCATACTCATCTTATACTATGTTAATACATACAACTTTTACTATAAATATCCCTGTGAAATTGCGAGAAAAAAAACCGGTCCTATGGGTGGAATACCTGATGTTGTTTTCGCGATTTCAGAATTATCCATATTAATGAGTGGTGTCACAATTTACATTCAAACTCAATTAAGTTGACATCATGTATTTTCTTTCACTTTACAAAAATAACTTATTCTATATTATAAAGATAATTTAAAACCAAATAATCATAACTTAAATATCTAATGAAATAATAACCAACCTAATCCTATTTATCTGTTTGATCTAGAAATTTATGTTTAGCTACTTAGTCGTAATTGTCAAAAGTGTGCCACGTTATCTTTGAAAGTAATGTGTCGTTAACTCTGTTTTTTTTTGCTTTATCAAAGCAAAGTTAGAGACAGTTTATTACATAAAGCCGCATTGTTAATGGGCGTTTGTGCAGTTAACAGTATGAAGATTGTACTATAACACTAATGGAATCCCATTTTTGTTTCGTATGAACACTATAAATATAATCCTGTCTATCATATTTTGAATAACAAAAACGCTGCCGCCTTCAGAGCTTTCACATGAATATTTACAACGTGGCAAACTTTTATATAAAAGGGCTTTGTTTAACTAGCATTTCCTGTAGGCCAAATAGGAACACGATTGGTCTGTTATGTCGTTTTTCATTCCAATGTATAAGCTAAACAAATTCCCTATAAACTGACCGCGATGAAACGCTCTCTCCACACGTTGTGCGGGACGCGGAAAGGGAACGCTATATCGACCAATCATGCTCGTGTTATGCGCAGGGCGGGAAATTCGAACTCATAGCAATTAAATTTTAGCTTTAAAATAATAGCTTTAGAACTGTTGTCTTTTGCACATTAGCGTGTGTAATCGGAATGCAAACACTGTATCCGAACTCTGACCACGTTTGGTTTATTTATAAGGCTATAAAAGAACGTTCGATCTGATTGACCCTTGTGTTTGTCGCCTGTGGTATAAACTACAAAATTAATCTGTTTATTGATAATTCCAGGACATCTTGATGAAGATGAAGGGCACTACCAGTGGATCGAGGGCCTGGCGATCTTAATATCCGTCATTGTCGTCGTCATAGTTACAGCGTTCAACGATTATACGAAAGAAAGGCAATTTAGGTACGTTAATGAATACGATCATAAAAATAAAAATCATTTTCCGTAAAAAAACACAGTACACACAAACTATATAAGAGTGGTTACACACGGTGACTTTTAGCAGCGATGCAAACGCGCGTTCATGAATCGCGCAATTACATCGCTACACTTGCGATTTATAGGCGATTACATCAATGCAAACGCGCGACTGCATCGATGCAATCGCCTATAAATCCCAAGTGTAGTGATACAATCGCGCGTTTGTATCGATGCAGTGGCGCGCTTGCATCGCGTTTGCATTGCTGCTAAAAGTCGCCGTGGGTTACCGCTCTTAGAGTTAAAACAAATGAAAGAAAGAAAGAAAACTGTTTAGCCACAAAAGGCTTTTTGTTTTAAACCGTTTCGTGGCGCTGATTTTCAGTAAAAAAATGGAAAGTACAAAATGCCTCATTTCATTACATACATATTAACAAATAATATGAATAACAGTTTTTTATTCTACCTCTGAACCGCTTCACATTCTCATTCCAGCTTATTGACAATTAAACTTCTTTATCCTTCTTCTAACACTGACATACTGTATTTACGAGTCGTTTATGAATTTCGCAGAGGTCTTCAATCGCGGATAGAGGGCGAGCACAAATTCGCAGTGATCCGGGGCGGCGAAGTGAACCAGGTCCCTATAAGTGATATCGTCGTCGGGGACATCTGCCAGATTAAATATGGAGACTTGCTGCCCGCCGACGGAATACTGCTGCAGAGCAATGACCTTAAGGTAAATTTTTAAATAACTATTAAATTAGGATTAATAAACCCCGATACAAAACAGTATTTTCCAAAAGTCAAAAGGTTTTCAGTGTGGGCCTTAGATGAGAATGTTGAATGAGGTAGAACCAATTTTGGAAATGAGCTTTAGGTGATAAGCCCCTAGTTTGAGACCAGGCGATCGGTGTGATTGTCAGGCACATTATTATTATTAAACTAGAAAATCGTAGAATTAGTAAACAAAATATGACAGTTGTTTAGCATAACACACCGCAAAGTAAGACACCGCGCTAACGTGTGTCAACCAGGAACTAGAAGCGAATATTTTGTTTTCATACAATTGATATGAAATCGACACAGTCGCCGGGTTGCGGCAACCGGACACGGTCGCCAGTTGCAGCAACCGCAATTTGTATGAAAATAGAATATTCGCTTCTACTTGCCGGTTGCTTGTATCCAACACAAAACACACGTTTGCGCGGCGCCTAATACGTCTGCAACATAGTTTAAAAGTGTACGTCAGGCTGCCTAGAAAATTTTCAATACGTCATAAAATGTTTAAATAAATGAAAGTAAAAGTTCCGTATAACGTAAACACGTCTGCTTTTTTAATAACAAGTTACAAGGTTAAGTAAAACACAAAAACTTGTTTAGACTAAGCGAAAAACCAATATTTGTGTGTTATCACATCAAATATTAATCGTGAGCAGGTAGCTGTAATTTCTATATCTGCGGCTTATCTAGGGTTGCCAACAGTAATATTACAAAGCGTCGAGTCGGTTTTGCGAAAAATTACAACTGTAGACAAGTAGTAAGTAAAATATTAAATGCGTGCTACTGAGTAATAGAAATTTCGAATAATAATGTACTTCTTCTTCTATAAATTTAATTTTAAAACTTTATTAAAACCAAAAGTTTAAAAAGGTTAATTTTAAAACAGGACGAAAATATTTTAAAACACATTACAAACAATGTTTTACAACATTTTTTTCGAAATGTCTTTACGCCGTTTCTTCCAAAAAACACTGACTATACATTTCTTTATTTATTTATACATTTTCGGAAAATTCACTTCCGCATGCAGACTGATATTTACGCTAGCTTTCTTTTGTTATCGCACAGAGTTATCTCAGTTCAGTGCGATCTATTTAAAAAAATTTATTTTTGTACGCAACTAAAATCTAATGAATTATTAAAAGCCATGGAAGCTCTTGTTTATGATGTTAGTAATATAGTTTTACGAGATTGTTAATGTTTTATAAATAACCCTGTCCAATTATTATCATTGTCAACCCTACCAGTATCCGATTTGTATCGCTCGATTCGTGCGTCACGTGCCGGTTATCAATGTCTATTGTCCAGATAACGTTATTGGGTTATCCGCGACCCCGTGTTTGTTCAACTTTACCTTACGCAATTACACCTGCATTATATAACTATTTGTTAAATTATTGACCCCTCCTATTGACTTATTTACGATGGATTTCTGATCTGGGGGTCGATTCGGAACCTTACGATAACTCAGGTGTCTACCGATTTCTTTTCATTTTTATTCACAATACCCGAATCGAATGTCAAACTGTCGTATTTGAAACTGAACCGAAATGAGGTCATACCCGTACGATTACTCTAACTTCTCGACCGGCAAAGGCTACAAACGTTATTCAGAACACAGTTATCGAATGAAAGGTTCCGAACGTTCGTATTGTTTACAAAGCAAGAATTAATAAGGAAATCTCTTGTTATTTTAAATAAAGTCTGGATTTTGTTCAATTTTATTAATTTATTTTAATGCAAGACCAATGCATCCCTAAATTTTAAGCCTAAAAAGTCTTAAAAATGTATATAAAAGGATTTTGATTTTTCTTACAATCTATTTCACTGACTGACTCCGTAAACGATGTTGGATAACGATATCGTATCCAAATCGGAAAGGAATGCGCCTTTCGATTCGAGAACGATATCCAATCGAACGAAGCGATTAAAAATATCGAAGAGTTCTGAATCGGGGTCCAACTTTCGGAATTCATATTCAGTCTTTCCGACTCGTTGTTACCAATTTAATCTGCCTGCATTTAAACTGCCTCTGTGGCCAAACGATTACCATGATGGACTGCCACGCAGAGGTCCCGGGTTCGATTCCCGAGCCGAGAGTAATATTTTGTATGCCTACATTTATTTCTTTCGTGAGTTTGGGGGTAATTTGCGGTTGTCTATATGTGTGTCCATGGCACCCGCGATACAGGGTTTCCCTAGTACGTGTGTTGAGTGCGTGTGTGTGCGTAATCGCTCCTTATATATTTTTATTTATAATTGAATAAATTACAATTAGCCTGATGTATCCCAGGTTTCCTCCTGATTCCTCCACGCATCCCGATCTTGAGTTAACTGGGCCCAAGCCAAAAAATAAAATAAAAAATAAAAATAAAACGTCAAATTAGAAACCCTGCGTTATCGTTAGTAATTAAATCAGTAGTGCGATTCACATAATCAAACCGTTACTATATCGTAGCGATTTAGTCGTTGAACTGCTTTTTCGTATTCACGTGTGACAGTCGAACTTCAACGAGTCTAATTTTAAAGTCGTTCGATCCAAATGTCGTTAAAGCGTATTCTGGTAAATGAATCGAACTTAAATTGATTCTAAACGACAAGTTTGACAGTTCTTTCGATAGACTTTCGACGACTGAACGTCAAATTTCACAATTCAAGATGTCGTTCATTAGTAGTTACCTACGTTTCGACTCTATTCATATCAACGTTCGTTCAAGTGATACGTGAATACCAATTTTGGATAGGACTTCGATCGAACGACTACGTAACTTCAACGATTTTTTGATTGCTTGAACTTACGTGAATCGCCCTACTGTTCCCAGACATCACAAATATAATTTCATTCGCTTAATGAACTATTCAATTTACTAATTGAAATAGGAACGACTGTTTATAATTAAAAAAACATCACAATTTTGACTGTTTTCGCGATTATTCATCAAAGAAGTATCTATCAGCAGGCAATTATCGCAAGTTTAGAATAGAATAGATAATCGTTTATTGCGACTGTGGTATAAATACACTTGTTACAAGTAAATAATAGTAACATTTGGGCCCTGGACATACTGGACATAGATAGCAAATTGTACTTAAAGCTAGTTTGTATTATATAACTTGTAATATTAACTTTTGCCATAGAAATGTCTGTTTGAATTTGGTACTTTGTTAGATAGTAGCAGTAGAGCTCCTTGTGAAAGAGTTCGTCCAAGGAAGTCCTGCCACCTCACCTATTTCTGCCGCCAAGCAGGAATGTCAGCATTGCTATGTTATGGTTTTGAAGGGTAAGGGGTGCTGGTGAAATTACAGGCACATGGGACTTGTCAACTTATATCTCAGGGTGACGGGCGCAGTGGCAGTGCCCCTCAGATCTTTGCGATTTAAAGCTCTGCGTGGCACTGCAACTGTTATGGACAGGCGTGTAGCTTACCATCAGACGCACGACTTGTTCGTTCCGTCACTTGATATTATAAAAAAAAGATATCACTATCCTAGAAGAATTCGGTGATGAATAATATGCGTTTTTATAAGAAATGCCTTTAGTTTGGTAGTGAATGAATGAACTTTTAACGCAGATAAGAAAAATATCAGATCGTTTTATGAAACCTGTAACTACAAATAAATAAACCTAGAAACTAGCCAGAGTATTCAACAACCATGTCGTTAATTTTTATTGTAAAAGAATATGCATTTAAAAACTTTAACTAAGTTACTTATTAGTTTATCTATGTACGCCATTGACATAAAAATTAAATACAAGTATCCAACACATTTATGTGAAAATACGCTTTGTGTGACAACATTAAGCGCTTGCGCAATGTGTTCATACCGCGTGCTCCAAAAAGTTACTTCATATTTTTTAATCATGTTGAAGGATTTTTTCAGACAGCCCAGTATCAACTCTTCATCATCTCCCTCTTATTTGAAGATTAGTTATGGTAACATCGTCGAAAATTACCACAATTGTTTTCGTTCGTTTAGTTCGACGGCCTCAGTGGCCCAGCGATTGGTACAAACCCGGGCTCGATTCCCGGTTAGGACAATTTGAACTTTTCTAAATTGGTTCTGGTTCATGTAATGTGGGTAGTAACTTGGAATTAATTTCACTTTTCTGTTCTCGTAGTATAGGGAATCGCCTATACAGTGTGTTGATTTGCATTCTCGCTATATTTAAGTAATTAATAGTAGAAATATTGGTAAATCTATAATAATGATATTTTTTTTTGTGAAATAACCCCTAGTTTTGTTATGATTATAAATACAAGAAAACACAGAAAAAGTTTTTCATCGACCCGGTGGGTCTTGAACCCACAACCATGCTGCACCGTAGCTTTGCTCTAACCTTCAGAGCCGCAGGTCCAGTTACCGACTCGTCGAAATTCTCCTATATGTTTTTGTTATAGATCTTTGTACTGACTTTCGGCATTCGTCGCCGCTAGTGACATCTAGTGAGAGATTTTTGAATAACCTTAATTTATTATTTGTCAAAATACAATAATTGTACAGATGTTTAATAAAATTAGGTACATTGTTCCTACCTGCTAGCAGGTGCGTAAATATTAGTGGATTTTATTTGTTGTTTACAGTGAATTGCATTTAAATTCAATTTCAATTAATATTTAGCCGTTATTTTAGTTTTGATCCGAAAGTAGGCCTTTGTTTTGGTAAATCATCAACCCATTTATACGTTCCACTGCTCGGCACGGGTCTCCTCTCAAGCGAGGGGTTTGGGCCATAGCCTGACGCGTTTGTCCAATGAGGGTTGGGAATATCACACGCTTTCCGAGGGTTATGAATTTTCTTCGACGTACAGCCGTTAGGTTCTCACGGCTTGTTTTGGTATATTATTGAGATACGCTGAAGTTGTTATTTTATAAAATAATTTATTTTATAGAATAACAAAGTTTATTCTATATAGAAATAAAATAATTTAAAATTTTATGCCCTTTCAGTAATAATCATTGAAGTGGATAAAAATATCATGGTATGGTACAAAATTTGTAAAATTATTGGTACTATATAGAACAGTCTCTAAGATATTTCCTTGATAAATGCAGTTATACACCATTCAAGTTTTGAATGTGATAAATAAACACCGTATTCTTATCTTAACAAATATATATTTGTAAACAGGTAGTGATAACGACGTCGCTATCACTACCTGTTTACTTATAAATACGAGTATTTAACGCGATACGCTTATACGCAGTTATAAAAATTGCTTCACCTACATCAGAGGCTCCCAAACTTTTCTGTCTTTTAGACCACTGTATATTTTTTTGACAGCTGTACATTGTCACTACTATATATGTTATACTCACTTCGATAAGTTTAACTGTACTACTGTAGTTGAGCTAACTTCATTAAAAAAAACCCATTTTGGACATTTATATTTGTGTAAATGTACCACCACAGGGATATGAACCATCGACATCTCAATGTAGAAGCAATTGTTTTCCCTCTAAGCTACCGCCGCCATGACGACCTCGGTGGCCTAATGGTTTACATTGTAGGCGCTGGATGCGGAGGTCCCAGGTTCGATTCCCGGTAGGCCCAATTTGGGAAATGAATTTTTCTAAATTGGTTTGGATGTTCTGGGAAGTGCCCCAGAGTGAATTTCGGGTCTCTGGTACTCATAGTACAGGGAATTCCCTAATTTGAGTCCAGGCAAAGAATGTGGTTGTTTGACACATATTATTATTATTATATATTATCATTATGTGTGGTTACTAAAAGAAGTTTTAGTAGTAGGAATACTTCTTGTGAAAGAGTGTGTCCAGGGCAATTCTGCCAACTTTTTCTGTCGCTAAGCAGTAATAGGAGTATTACTGCATTCCGACTTTCAAGGGTAAGGGTGCTGGTGAAATTACACGCACATGGGAATTGTCAACTTATGTCTCAGGGTGACGGATGTAGTGGCAGTGCCCTTCAGATCTTTGCGATTCAAAGCCCTGAGTGGCACTGCAACTGTTATGGACAACCGTGTCCCTTATTATCAGGAGCACGATTTGTTCGTATAGTCACTTGATATCATTAAAAAAAGTAAAATGAACACAATGCCAAAGAAATCTGAAATCGTTAAAGTTACAGTTGATTTTGTTCATGCAATTGTTAACAGAAATTATTTTAAGGTAACTCTAAAAAAATGTAGTAATCCGAACTACATGGCAATTCACAACAAAAGTTGGCGCAACTAAACAACATTCTAAAACGGTATAAAACCTTGTAAGTCTTGCTTTTTTAGAGTCAAAATGGCTTTTCAGTTCCTCTTAGATAAATTTAGGTTTCAGATTCATGTAGTCGGAGAGAGTGACCGGCAATCATGAATATGAGTGAGAGAGACAGTCACAAAACTCCACATTTCCTCACAGAAAATCATAATAGGGAGATATAGTTGGTGTACACTCCGCACATTAGCCAGGTACAGCAAGCGAACAGCTAGCTACAGATGAAGACTGGAAATCAGCAATGCTGTGTTTTTAACCTTTATGTCCGCATCACTCAATTGTATTTTCCATGATTCCTATCTTTTGTGGAGATATAAATATATTTTTATTTTACAACATCCTTGCTCAATTAATCGACTTTATATTCTATAAATCCTGAAAATAAATAACATTGCGTCTTGTGCATCAGAGTACAGCTTTATATTATGATCGCCGACCTAGACGGGTTTCACGTTTCTTTGGTAGTTATTTGTATAGAATTGTAAATATGACATATTATTTTTAAATAAAACACGATAGTTTTTATAGGTTTGCGCAGATATTTGTGAATATTCATGCTTAAAATACAAACGCCATTGCGTAGCGTGACTAAACAATGTTTCCTGTCTCACATGCGTAGTAACAATACATATGCGTAGTTAGTGTGAAAAAAGAGACGTCTGTTTATTTGTAAGTCAATGCGTCTGGTAATTAGATTACATTATGTGCAGCTGTGTGAGCAATGGGACGTATATGGGTTTACTAATTTATTGCACAGGATACACACAATTCACGTTTAAGAGTCGATACTACCTCAGCTCGAATTCAAAATTGTCCCGTACTAATACGGTTCATTTTGCTTTGATCGAGCATATATATATATATATGTACATATATATATATATATTTATATACATTTACCGAAATTACTTCACTAACGGTAAAATCAATAATGCTTCTACCTCGTTAGTATTTAACATCGAGTATATAACCAGAAATAGAGACGAAATGTCATTTAATTTGTTTGAAAACTATTCTGCCATATCATTACTGTGACGACTGCGCTCCGATTGGCTAGCCCGAATTCGAGCCAATTGACGGATGTCGTCAATGGGTGTTGTCAACTGCTTCACTTCAAATCGACCAGTTAACTTGAGCTTTGCTATAATGGACGAAAATTGCAAAATTACATATTTAATATTTAATTACCGATGAAATGCGATTCCGTTTGTTTTGTAATTAGATCTTTTGCTGTTTTTCCCACAACACGGCATTGTTAGAGATATTATCTTTATTACAATAAATACAGAATATTTTTTGGAATATACGGAGACGTACACACAGGTCAGTAGTTGGCCTGACTATATTTCAGTGCAAACGAGAGTTACTATCTATAAGCGTTGTATCGCTAATGTGTTACCAGGAATATATGGCCCTTATTTCGTCTGTATTTCTGGTTATATACTCGATGGTATTTAACCTGTAAGTACTGATTTTCTTTTACTGCTTCTGTAAGCATTACACGACGTTACGTGATGTCATAGGATTTAAAAGATCCAATCGACAGCAGCACTGCCGTCCGGTAACCAAAACGCGACTAAGTGACAAAAAAAATTATTGAGATGTCATAAAAAAAACCATAACCCAGTTTTAGAATATTGAAATTGTTTAATAATATTTCAGCTATGCATCGTTAGGGTAGGTTCCGACTCAAGCCTGGAGGGAGAGTCCCCACATAACCCCTGAGTCTCCCTGGGCTCAGGGGTATCCATAAAGATTTCCCCCCCGTCGAAAAAAAAAAAAAAAAAAGGGTAGGTTCCGATAAGTCGAACACGTTAACTAATTTTAACTGTTTATAAAAGATAATTTTGTGTTTAAAACAGATTTTTGACGATTTGTCACTTAGCCGCCTTTTACTTAGCGGACGGCAGAGCACCCTTCTTACGCTTCAAAATCGGAACGCAGTAATGTTCACATTACCGCTTGATGGCAGAAATAGATTAGGTAGCAATAATTCCCTTGAAGAACTCTTTCACAAGAAGCTCTGCTGCTACTGAACTATAGTGGCACAGTAATTTGGTCTCAACGAGTTGTTGTTAGCTTACGGATGGTGACTTATGGAATACACTGTTTTGTATCATGGATTTATTACATTTAATTTTATTTTAAGTTTTATTAGTTGTTTTAACTCTCACCATTCATGGACTGTTCTGTGGAGCCGTAAGTTGCTATAACATTGAACTGCGTACTTAAGAACATTTTGTAATTCTAATATGTAGCCTCTGCTTCTACCCAGCAATATTTACTAATAAAAAACTTTATTTCTTCAATAGGTCGACGAGTCATCGCTCACAGGTGAATCGGACCATGTCAAGAAGGGAGAATCTTTTGATCCCATGGTGCTATCCGGGACTCATGTTATGGAAGGTTTGTATTTTATTATAGGCACTACAAGAATTAAACCATCACTACTACTAAAAATATTATGTTAATCTCTTACCTGAAGTGTTCTTTTATGAAATATCGCAAGTATACAAACACGCACACGTCGACACGTCTCGAGCTTAAAACGAGCTCAACAGACCGAACGCGGTGCGGCGCGGCGAGCTTTTTCTACTGAGTTATTTGTATAATTAAACTGAAAAATAAGTTGCGTACTACTATTTCCCAATTTTGTATGGGATTTATTTAAATTTATTGTCAACAGTCGTAGAACAAGTTTTAGTTTCAAATAATAGTAATAAAAAAAATTATATCAAAAAGAAAATAAAGGCGAAATCAGTCCATGTATAATTTTAATGAAACTTTCCACTTAATAATTTAGTAACTATGTAAGTAACAACATTTACACCACTTAATTTTACTTTTCAAATTAAGTAAAAAATAAGATATGCAATTTTAGGACCAATCTACCGCGTCGAACCACACTTTTTTCTAACATGTAGCTCGACAAATTGGCTGAGAATGACTCAATCGTCTGTTAGCCGTAACCATGGGGCTTGTAAAGGGCCCTAAACATTGGCTTGATGGAAAAAAAAGTGCTGTGGCGTATACAGCACTTTTTTCAAAAATTTTTTGATAACACTGTTTTTGTAACGCCTTAGCACCTTGTATGGTGAACGTATATGTATTATTTTCTAAAATTGTTTTATGTTAACTTGATGGTGTATCTTTCAATAAATAAATAAAAAACAAACAATGCGATGTAAATCCGAAAAGATAGTTTACAGCTCCTAGTAAAATTTTTGTATTTAGCTGCGATGGAGAACTAAACTACATTCGTAAGCTTGAGTGAAGTGCTATTCCAATTTCATGTCTGTAAATTTAAAATTTGCATTGCACTTTATACTAGTAAACAGTAAACAGTAATATTTCTGTTTTCTAAACTTTCAGGCTCCGGCAAAATGCTAGTAACAGCCGTAGGCGTGAATTCGCAAGCCGGTATCATTTTCACGCTGCTCGGCGCCGCAGTCGAAAATCAAGATAAGGAAATCAAGCAGATGAAGAAAGGTCAGTGTAACTTGCACATGTACGGTTGCGGTAGCACTTAGATATTTACTTAGTAATTTACCTAGCAAGCATTTGTGACTTTCTGTGAATTGAAAATCTTATTCACTCGTACTTTTAAGAATGGTGAGATCATAAGTGCGAATGAATAAGCAATGTATTTATTGATAAAAAAAACGAAATATTCCAAAATATAACGATAATAATCTGTCGTCGCTTGTGCGCGCTAGGAATAAGGATGCTCTTTTTGTTTTGTGGTGGTGGTAAACAATGCTATTGAGTTTCTCTGAAGTATTGTGCTACCTTTGTAACTTATTATTGGACAACAATTTTCTATTACCTATAAAACATATTATTGTAAATTGCTTTAGGAATTAAAATTGCATTATCTCATCATTTCTGTATTTTATTACAACGCTATCTTTCCCAATTATAGAGAAACTCAAAATCGCTATTAACTTACACTGTAACCTAAATATTTAACATCACACTCAATGATTAATTTAACTTTACATTATCATCAATTACAAAATCATGACCAACTGGTCAAAAAGATCAAGACCATTGTGAAGCACACAAAAGGAGCATCCGATATAGAAAAACCCTGCAAAATTTAGTTTAGTTTTATGTATGTACTCTGCTCATTTAGCAAAACGCTGTACGCGATAAATTCATCAAATATATAACAGCTTTGAATAGATGTAGTCTGAAAGCTTCAAAAGTTAGGTACCATTATTGATACAGAAAAGCCTTTTTATAGACATTTAGAAACTCCACTAAACCTATTTGCCTCTCGTCCTGATCTATTGCGGCTTTATGGCACGTCAGCAAGAGGGAAATATGTCTTCTCAACGATAGGACTGTCGGTGCAACTAAATTTACTTTAGAAATTGATTGTCAAAGTATGTCAAAAGTCATAAATCAAAAATCTTATTCTTTTATTAACTGTATCCAGTGTACTACGTTAGGGACTACGTTACTGTTTTCTCTCTTCTTTAACTAACTATAAACTGTCTGGTATATTCTTTTTGTATAAATTTAATCGGATTTTTGTTTAGAAACAGCGTTGCCAATGTGTGGGGAATTTCAACTCACTTGAACTCGCTGGCGGCCTTTATGGGGATTGGTGCTATGTGGAAGTTATATTGGTGCATTTGGTTTAATTGGCTCTATTGACGCTATGCTAGAATGCCCGCATTATCCCCACACAGCGCCAATCCTAACAATCATAATTTCCCAAAGTGGTCCCAGTCCCAATGGGCGATGATGAGTCCTAGGGCGGCGGTAGGGGCTTTGGAGGCAATTGGGGAGCGTTAAATAAGCGGCAAAAAGTTGGGGAACCTATGTTTTAAATGAATCGATTTCATTGACTCATTCAATATATCAATTATATCTATAAATAAATAAATTATCTTACTATTATTTAAATTAAATATTTAGCGTATTAATAGTCAAAAGTATTTACATTTCATTTTGACTGATTCTGTCTTAGTAAGTTGAGATCTGAACCAAACGCATCACTATACAATAAACATGGCAACTTTATTGAAATAAAAGTATTCTTTCGAATCTAAATCGCTTGTATTTGTTTTTAAATGTCAACCTTGACCATGGAACGTGTAAAGAGACCGAAACGTTGATTTAGACTTACTTTTAGTAGAAGTAGTGGTCCTTGTAAAACAGTTCGTTCAGGAAGATACCATCACCATAACTATTTCTGCCGTCAAGTAACTCACATTACTGCTCTTTGGGTTTGAAGGCTAAGGGTGCTAGTGAAATTACAGGCACATAGGACTTTTCAACTTTTGCCTCAAGTGGAACTGCAACTGCTATAACTGTCCATATGAGCAAGGCATGCTATGGCGTGTCACTTACTACCAGGCGCACGACTTGTTGGTCCTGTCACTTGGTATAATAAAAAAAAAATAGATCTGATAAAATAGATCCGTTTCCGATGTGTGTAATAATCGCAAGAACCTAAAAACAATATTCGACTATGAACTGGTAACCGGTACTATCTCAATTTTGACAACTTTACATGATGAAGAAAAAAATCATTTATATAGCATCTGGTTTATTGAATAAATTTACGTAGTGAACATACATACATGTGTAATAAAAATACTTAAAAACTACGTATTTTTATTTACTAAACCAGATGCTATATAAATGACGCAAACAATTTTGTTATTCGTCCTGTAAAGTTTTCAAAATTGAGATAGTACCGATTGCCAGTTCACAGTGGATGACAACTTTATTTTTCAAAGCGGCGTTAGTTACTAAGTCAATTTGTTATCTTATAATTAATAATCCGATTATTGTAATAACAGTGGTTTAAACGGCGACACTGAGTCGTTAAGATGGAATACCGCCTGGCAGCGTTTTGTGGTTAGTCTACAGACGAGATTTACATTAATGTTCTAAATTGCTAAAAGAGCGCTTTTAAAGTAGCTTTGAAAATTTATACGAAGGCTTCTACCTAAATGAGCAGTGGACGCCTAGTTGCATAAATTTAGTGTTTCCACCTGTGATATGACCCTACATCAAGTCATCTACTCCCCTTTATGGGAGGTTTAATATTTATAGAAGAAATTGGTAAACTATGTGTCAAAACTTAAATACACTTGCGGTCAATAAATTTTGGCTATTTACTTACTTGAATTTGCATAGTTGTTTTTTAAAGTTATTGTACCAATTTCGTCTACTTTAAGAGATTATTTTGTTTATTGACGATATTTTTTTTAAATTCTTATTGTACTTTTTTGTCAACGGTAATGTGATACAGCTTTTTGGACGTTGTTCGTATTATGTTATGTCTTAAACTGATAGCCTTGTTATGTGGGAGCATGGTCAAATTATTATCCACCGTAGACATTAGACGTTCCTTGTACCCGATTTATCCTCAATAAAAAATAATCTCGTCATAATAATATAATTTTTTTTTAAACTTATCCTTTAAAAGCATACATCTGTAAATGCAATCGTCCATTTAAGTACTTGCTGTCTAATATTACGACATAGATTGCAAATGCTTAAACTTGTATGAAACTCCTTAGATTTAGTACCACAGTACATTATATAGTGTAACCCATTCAATGACATCCAACTTTTTTTTCTCCACCCTGACCCCGGCCCGCTGCACGCCCCACCTCCATCGCCGATGAAAATAAAATAAATAAATAAACAAAAACATTTATAAAAACATACACATTGATGCATCGTGTAACTGTCGTGTTGACTGCATGATGTATAAAAATACGAAACCGTTGCCATATAAATGTGTATGCTTGTATATTATTGGAAATACCAAATTGGATATGGAAAATTTGACGCGTAGAAGCTAAAAAGCAGCAACGAAAAGGACAGCGCAAGAGCATCGCCGGTAAGTAACCTCCATTGCTATGCCCTGCTTGAAAATTACCCTACGTACACTCAGGGCCAGAAATTATATGCATATTTTGAATACTTAGTAGCTCGTAGTTAATATCTTGATAACATTGAACATGAGATGAGGGAATAATAGAGAGAGATATCGTGAAATCAGCTGTCAAAAGCCACTGAATCATCCAATCAGAGATCATAATAGTGACGTCATTGATAATAAATGCCTTTAGAATGCACTGTAGAAATTGTCAAATATATATAATATAACATATAACATTATTACATAGATGCTAGCGACACCTATTGTGTCGGTAATGATTTTATATCTAGCCATTCTCTTTATAATAGTTGTAGGTTCAATACAATCAAGATATTCGCTGTGAACTTTTATAATTCATAGTATAATAAGCTTATGTAGCTTCGTTTGCGAAGTTGACCACTTAAATCTGTCCTTAAGTGTACTTGAGCTAATGACGCACTACGTTACTTGAAAGTATTAAAAAAAACTCGCAGTGTGTCCTTAGAACTGTTCAATAATGCAAGTAGTTTAAAACATCAGTGAATAACATTTTAATCACTTTAAATAACAGTAAATAACTCCGAATGTCAAAAACACCCTTAAATAAAAAATAATAATAAATAACTCAGCCATGTCATGTAAAGCATAATTATATCTCGCATCAAGTTTGTAGTGACCTCTTTCACCGTAGATAACACTACTCTAATTTTAAGTTTTTCTACTTACAACTGTTTGATTCTTACACGAGTACCGAATGTGTAATCTTCCCTGTAGTTAGAATAATTTAAGAATGCCCTACGTAACTTTACTTAATACAAATCACGAGTAATTTTGCACCTTTGTTTATTTTTTTCTGTTTTTGAACTGAAGTGCAATTAGAGTATTTGATTTAATATGCGTTTTGCGTAAATCGAGAAGTATACTTAAAAGGTATAAAAATATTTACGATACCTACATAATATTGAAATCACTCTTACAACGAAAATGTTCCTAAATATTTAAGACGACAAAAGTGTTGCCTGGTTTCGAACATCAATAAATTATTACAAACAACCTCCGGATAACTTCACAACACAACACTAACAATGCGTGAACCACCAGGTGAAGAAGACACAACACTGCCAGCGTCCACGAACAGCCACGGTGCGAACCATGCGAGAATCGACGACAACCACGTACCTGCGCCTAGCACCACCGAGAAGGTGCCCCAGGAGACCTCGCACAAGAAGGAAAAGTCTGTACTACAAGCCAAGTTAACCAAACTCGCTATACAGGTTAATAAATCAATCTGATACACATATAGTAAAATGAAGGGGTGAGGAACTGGAAATAAGTGTTAAGTTTAGCCTCCTACGAATGTACTGTAATGTGTAATGTATGTGTGTAATTTATTAAATATAAATACATGCTTCAGGCTCGAGCATGTATGCCCTGAGTTTGTATAAAAAAACATTTACCCTAAATTTGATCATAAAGATTACATGGCGCTAAATTTGAATGCGATATTGTCATTATAATGTACACAGTGTTTATTTGACTATAGGAATAATATTGTCTGGATCTGAATCACTTCACTCACATATTATATACATTTTGATGTAAACGGAGCTTCAGGAGGCTAGTGCCGCTGTGCGGTATTATTTAGTGGCGTTATTCGAATAGTACAGGGTTAAAAGCACGTCAAACTTGATACTTGACACCTTCACCTTGGGGTGCACCACCGGTGGTTACGCACGAAATCCACGACGCCGTCCTGACAATAAGTGCTAAAGTCTATAGTCAAATTTTCATAGTATAGCTTGAAATAGTGATAGAAAATAAAAATATTATTTATTTATATGTATTATTTATATTACACTCAATTAAGAGATTGTTTATTTAATGTTAAACTCCTCTAGATCGCGAAATATAATCATCTGTGGCTATGAACATTGTGTATGAAAACACCTGATATTTTATGTGATTTGTCGGGAGGAAACGATAGGTAAAATGGTCCCATAGAATATTGTAAAAACAACACTTGTATTCCAAAAATCCACACTTATATAGTACATGACATAATAAATCCCAACTTTAGTGCACTAATGACATTGTAAATCCAAACTTTTGTGTACTAATGATATTAAAATCCACAGATCGGTTACGCGGGCTCAACGATTGCCGTTCTCACGGTCATCATTTTAGTGATCCAATTCTGTGTGAAGACATTTGTGATACAAGGAAAAAGCTGGCACCCGACCTACATCAACAACTTAGTGAAACATCTTATCATTGGTGTTACTGTACTTGTGGTCGCCGTGCCTGAAGGATTGCCGTTGGCTGTCACGCTGTCGCTCGCTTATTCTGTCAAAGTTAGTACCCAAAAATTCAAGTTTTTTTTAGGTGTATTCATTGTATTCCTGGACTGTACCGATAGTGTTAAAAGTAGCCTATAGATGGCACTCTATCCCATCAATATTTAACAAAATCTAACGTTGATCTTGTTAAATTTATCAATAGTTGTAGCGTCATCTTCTCAAGTTTAAAACATGATATGCTGATTGGTGGAAGATACTCTTTGTTATGTTTGCGTGCCCGGCATTACCAACAGAGGGCGAAGTCTATGAAACAGAAGCGTCCTCACACGAAACGAGCAAAAAGACCATTTTTTGTCGACCATTAGAGCCACGAATTCTAAGTTATCGATATCTACAATAAACACTACGCCTACTTATTTTTTTGTCATCTTTTTTTTAAATTATTATTGAATGGATGTTCAATTGTTTTTTGTGAAATGACTCCACTAGTTTGTTATAATTATTACAAAGATCGAACACTTAGAAAAAATTCCTTCGATCCGGCCGGATTCGAACCAACGTCTTCTAGCAAACCGTGCCAGACGCTATGGCAACTAAGCAACGAAACGAACCATTGTCGGATCTTTCGATTTGATTTTGGTTTTCAACGACTTTTCAGCCGTAGTGCCATCTATGAGAAATCTATGAAAAGCTCTTTTTTTCTCACAAAATTCAGTTTGTTTTTTTTCGAATTTTGTTTATTGTTTCTTTTTATTTATTTTTTTTTTTCACAAAATCCCTGGAGCATAACATTAGTAAATAAAATAAGGCTGTTTACATTAAAAACAGAAAGTGAGTGTTCATTGGAGGTATCGTTATAATAAATAGTTCAGGGGTCTACTCTCGATCTCCGTCCAACATCCGTCCGTAACAATTACTGCCAAATAAGCAATACTTTGACCAAATGAAAAGACGTATGATGCGAACGAAGCTTCATTCTTGATACTTGTCTTTTAATTTTGTCGAATATTACTTATTTGACAGTAATTGTTTCGGACGGATGTCGGACGGAGATCGAGAGTAGACCCCCAGGATACAATGGAAAAAGTCATGTACTATAGTATCAAACTTCCTAAATAAGAGAAAACCTAATACCTGAAATTAAACGTGGTTCCGAAGTGGGCTTGTGTAAATTTCGTTCTTGGATAAAAAAACGTCTGAAGTTGGAATTTTCATCATTTAATATCAACATCTCACTTCCAGAAAATGATGAAAGACAACAACTTAGTACGGCACTTGGATGCGTGCGAGACGATGGGTAATGCAACTGCCATTTGTTCCGACAAGACAGGCACGCTCACGACCAATAGAATGACAGTAGTGCAATCTTACATCTGCGAGAAACTTTGCAAGGTCACACCAAACTTCAGAGATATACCGCCTGAGGTTGGGGAAACGCTCGTCGAAGGCATGTCTGTGAACAGCGCTTTTACTTCACGGATTATGGTGAGCCGTGTTCTTTTTTAACCGACTTTATAACGGAGGAGGTTCTCAATTTCACAGTATTTTTTTATGTATGTTACCCGATTACTCGATTTGTGAACCGATTTTGATGATTCTTTTTTTGTTAGCAAAAGGGTACCTCAGTATTCTCCCATTTAAATTTGAAGAAAATATTCAACCTCTAAGGGTGGCAAACTAGGGGATGAATCCAGTTTCACGCACTTTCCGGCAACCGATTTCAATAAAACTTGGCAAATATGTGTAATTACCTATTTCTGCCGCCAAGCAGTAATATCAGGATTACTGTGTTCCTGTTTTGAAGGGTAAGGGTGCTGGTGAAATTACAGGCACATGGCACTTGTCAACATATCTCTCAGGGTGACGGGCGCAGTGGCAGTGCACCTCAGATCTTTGCGAGAACCTCCTTTTTCCTATCAAATCGGTGTCGAAGTGTTTGACTGTTGCTTATGTATTTAAACTAGTAAAAACTCCTTAATATTCCAGCCCGGTCTAGACGCGACTCAACCAACAATGCAAGTAGGAAATAAAACCGAGTGTGCTCTCCTCGGCTTCGTGCTAGCGCTAGGTCAAAGCTACGACGCGGTCCGCGAACGTCACCCCGAGGAGTCGCTCACGAGGGTGTACACTTTCAATTCAGTTCGCAAGAGCATGTCTACTGTGATCCCGTATAAGGGTGGTTATAGGCTGTATACCAAGGGTGCCTCTGAAATTGTACTCAAGAAGTAAGTAATCAGTTTTAAATTTAATTTAATAAATTTTCAAAATGTTTACTTTTTTTTCGACCCATCGAGTATATAACCAGAAATAGAGACGAAATAAGGGCCATCTCTCATCACGCAAATGGGCCTTATATCACTTTAAAATGTCGACTCTCGTTTGCACTGAAATCACAAATTAGAAAGATGTAATAGCACGGCGCCAACAACTAACCTGTGTGCACATCTCCGTATATTCCAAAAATATTCTGTATTTATTGTAATAAAGATAATATCTCTAACAATGGGGGGCTGTTCCATTCGGCGGTGTGGGAAAAACTGCATAACTCCTAATTACAAAACAAACGGAACACATTTCATAGGTAATTATATATTAAATATGTAATTTTTCAATTTTCGTCTATTATAACAAAGCTCAAGTTAAACAGGTAGATTTGAAGTGAAGCAACACCCGTCACTTGTTTCGCATTCGGGCTGACCAATTGGAGCGCAGTTGTCACAGTAATGATTTGGCAGAATAGTTTTAGACGATTCATTTAATTCTGAATTCACTGAAATGAGTATAACACGTGACTTTGATATTACTCTGTTTTATTCGGCAAAGCTACATATATATGTATATATATATATTATTATTATTATATATTACTCACATAGAGTATTATAAAATCCTACATAAATTTTAAATCACTCTATGTGATTAACGAGTTTCGCCGAATAAAACAGAACTTTATAACGCTGCCGTGTAAACTTGGCAATTTCGATATACGTTACTTTACATAGGAGGAGTCGATTTAATGTCAGTCTCTACTGTTAATTTCACTTATTAATGTAGATTTGTATGGGAAAATTCTAAGTATTCTTTATTACTATAGAAGCAATGTGTCAAAAGCCATTTTGTCAAATGTAATTTACCACCACTATTTTCAGATGCGCGTTCATTTATGGCCACGAAGGTCGTCTAGAAAAGTTCACCCGCGATATGCAAGACCGCCTAGTCAGACAAGTCATCGAACCCATGGCGTGTGACGGCCTTAGGACCATCTCCGTGGCTTTCCGGGACTTCGTGCCCGGCAAGGCTGAGATCAACCAGGTGATGTATCGTTGTTATAGCTCGATGAAGACGGACTTTAATGTGGAACGTTTGCGTCACACGCACGCTGACAACTAATTGCTCTGTGTTGTTCGGGCAACTCATAGAGATGGACAAGCGCCCGGATTTTAATCTGGCGGGCGCTTTGTAAACGCCGGGTTTAAATCGGATTAAAACGAGGGCAAAAATTAGTTATAACTAAATATTTGTTGTAAATCGAGTTTTGTTCAAATTTAATTATATGTTTATTGCAAAATTTATTGCTCTCTGACCTAGACAAAAAATTGTTAGATCGTATGCACTTTTATCTTTATAATAATTTGATCATAATGTGCATTCTTAGCAGTGAGAGTCCACAGAATTGCAAGTTTGGTATTGTGTGGAGTAAAAAGATTTTTTACATCTAAATTTGTGATAACTATGGAAGTATATCAAATTCCAGATTTTGAAATTCAAGATTTTGAGCACAAACGTAACTATGATAAACATCCGGGCGCGTTGGTTTTAACCCACTGCCCATCTCTGGACACTCGTGATTGGTCAATTCCGCTCTCGCACCCCGTATAACTATAATAGCATTTTGATTGCTTGAAGCGTTTAGAACATTTGTCATCTGAATATTCTTAATTTTTTGTTTTATATGCGAGTATCGTTCGTACTTGTTGAATATTGTTTTCGCCAACAGGTGCACATAGACCAAGAGCCAAACTGGGACGACGAAGATAACATCGTGAACAACCTGACTTGCTTGTGCGTTGTTGGTATCGAGGACCCTGTAAGACCCGAGGTAAGAATATTTTATCGTTTCCGTTAAAATATTATGCATTAAGAGAAAGCGTTTTGATTTCTATTACTATATCCCCTGGTAC